GGAATGCCTCTGCCCAAAATGTGACGTTCTGTTTCATCCCTTGAGGACCCTCTGCTCAGTCCCAGGGGACATCCTTGCCCTTACCCCAGGGCAGCACTCAGAGCCTCCACCACCCTGCAGCATCACTTGGTGGCCACCCACAGCAGGGGACAGAGCCACGTAGGCACTGTCAGCACCAGCGTGACCCCAAGGAGCAGTTTCCCCACCCCAGCGTGCCCACCGCACTTAGCAGGGATTCCCCACCCCTGCAAGCAAAGCCACATCCCCCCTGCCCATCACCCAGGCTTCCTGCCTCTGCTCCAGCCCCAGCAGAGCAGAGACTGGACAGCAGGAGTGGGTGGAGGTGGGGAAAGATAACGATGGCATTTGTGTGGAGAAAGGAGATGACTGTTGAGCCTGACTGCTGGTATTTGCCTCTCATTCAGCTGTGGGCAAAAGCAGAAGTGCCCTGTCAGCAGCAGCACCAGCCAGCGAGCTGGTGGGGACTGCAGGCAGCTGAAGCTGGCAGGTCATCACCATTTTTCCACTCCTTTTGTAATAAATTATTCACCACGAACCTCACAAGACGAAATGAACTCTCTGGCATCTCCCAGAGCAGCCACTCATCCCAGCATCAGTGTCTGGGTTCTCCACTGGACCCACCTTCCCCAAGTCCCAGTTAATCCTCACATTGGCCAGAAAAGGATGCTTCCCTTGACCACAGGGTCCATCAGGATCAGCCCTGACAAAATCCATTCCAACATCCATCCCCTCTCCTGCCCATCCCCTGCTCTCTGGCTCCTCATGCTGAGCTGGCTGGCAGAAGATGAACCCAGCACCCCACAGCACAGGCTGGCACCAGCTCCTCCAGCATCCCTGCCTGCAGGACTCCTGCCTGTGGGACTTCTGCAAGGGTCTTTGCAAATCCCCTGGGGCTTTTGGAGCCTGGTCTTTGCCAGTGGGATGCTCACTCTGGGAGGAAGGAGATCAGGAGTGAGCAATGGCACACCTCTGGTTACACAGACCATGATCTGAAGGAAGCAGAGCAGTAAGGTTGGGTCCTCAACATGACATGGGTTTCCCCATAGTGGAAATGAAAAATACAGCTGAATTTGTGGAAAACAAAGAGGAGGGGGAAATATTTTAAAAATCCAAAGAGTGAAAAGCATCCTGAGAGAAGGGGATGGCTTTAAAACTAACTGAGGTTTGACAAATGGAGTTTCACTTCCAAAGGGGGTGAATATACCTAGAGGCAGGTATATTCATGGCACAGTGGAAAAATTCACAGCCAGGAGGTATTGGAAGGTCAGTGCTGTTTTTCAAAAATGCTCCTTATGTTTCAAAACCATCCCTGACAGCAGGAGGAGTAGGGGGCTGCTCTCATTAACGAGTCCCTAAACCCTCCTCACTGGGACAGCCCTGGAGCTCCCACTGTGCTCAGCCAGCAACCACACCCTTAAATCCTATCAGCTGCAGAGTTCAAGCATTAGGCTTTCTTGAGATTTTTTTTAAGGCAGATTATTTTAAGCAGGTGTTTAACATCACCATTGAGTGCTTGAGCTAGTGAGCAGGCTGTTGCCTACCAATGGGCCTCTGCCTTCCCCGCTCTGCTGCTTTCTCACATGCTGGAGAAAGGAAAAATTAAACAGGGCTCCTTGCCAAAGGGGAACAAAAAAGTTGGTTTTCCCATTAAACAATGGGATATATTCCTGGGTTGGAAGTGTTGCACCTTCATGAGGCCATTGGTCCACCCTGTGGCACTGCTGGCACTCAGGGACAACAGATGTGTTGCTGGGCCAAACCCCACACAGCACTTGACTACTGCCCATGTCAAACCCCACCTTCTCCTTCTCCACAGCCAGGGCAGCTCTTGTCTCCCAGCTTTGCAGTCTCTCCAGCTCCCAGGCTGCAAAGAGGTGGATCAGGTCCCCAGGCTCCCACCTTGCAGCACAGCCCTTGGCAAGAGCCACTGGCACTGGAAGAGCACACCCATCAGTGACCCCACCAGCTCCAGGAACTGCTGCTGCCTGCCATGGGCAGCTTCAGACCCTGCCCTCATTCCCTACCACCCCTGCTCCATTGCCTTCACAGTCCTCTCCAGTCCTGAAGAAGCTCTGGTTTCTCCTTTCTCCCACTTTTTTGGGTGCCTTGTCTTGCTCTATGCCCTTCAGGGCTGCTTGCCCTCCTTTGCCAGGAGGGCCTGCTTCGCCCCAAACCAGTAGCCCACCTTTGCTGGCTGAAAGAACCCCCTCCTCACTGGCAGACCCTTTCCCCTTGCCCTGCCATGCCACTGCCTGCATCCCAGCACTTCCAGGGAGCCATCTGGCTTGCCTAGCACAGCAGCGTGGGCTCCTCTCCCCGCAGGTATTCCCTGCTGCAGAGCCAGCAGCCAGCTCGGCTCCATTTTCTGTCTCCGTCCATTTCCTTCAGCTTCCTCAGTTGGCAACACACCCCGTCCCTCCTGCTCCTCTGCAGCTCTCTAGACCCATCTCTGCCACAGCAGCACGAGGACCCCTGGCAGGGCTGGCAGCCCCTGCACAGCCCCTTCCCCAGCCTCTTTGTTTTCCTGGCTCGGCTGCGGGGAGGAATTCAGCCCGCAGCCCACGTCAAGTGGCAGCAGCACCAGCCATCACTGGCCACAGGTGCTCAGCATCCTGCAGGGAGAGAAGACACTCTGCAGCAGCCAGGCTGTGGGCAGGCAGGGCAGGAGGGCAGCTCCAGCCCAACCAGCTGCCTCTGCCTGGGGACACTCAGCCACCGCCTGCTTAATCCACCATCGAGAGAAATTCAATAAGCCGCTTATTAACCTTTCACTGTGAGTGGGCCAGGACTGTGGCCCCACTCCCTACTCCCTCCCTGCCTCTTTCCAGGGCTGCTCCCACAAGGGAGGAAGAGGACAGCAGAGACCCCAGGGCCAGACCTGGCAACCAGTCCTGCAGAGCATCTCTTCACCCTGGCCCTGCCGTGCTCTGCCCATCCCCAGCGACACACCCACCAGCCCTGGGTGAGAAGCGAAAGGGCTAGAGAGCCATGATTAACTGGATCAGCTAAGATTAATTGAGCAGAGATTAGCTAACGAGAGCTCTCGTAACTCTGAGGGCTACCAACTGGCAGCCCTCCTGCTGTGACCTGCAGGTGACCAGTGGGACAAGGAGCACTGTCCCCAAGAGCCCCTCGCAGCAAACTCTTGCCCTGAAGATGCTGAAGGGACATGCTGTGCTGCCTGACCCCTGGGTGCTGCAGGATACCAGGTCTGAACGGTGCTGGGCCCCATTCCCTGAGCCCAGCACAGGGCAGGGGCTGCCTTGCTGGGGCCACCAGCAGCTCTGGCAGATGAAGAGCTGCTGCACGACAGGAAACCCAAGGCGAGTTTCTCCTTTTGTCTGCGCACATCCCCACGTCACCTCAGCAGCACGGGCAGACGCCTCGTCTGGCTGCACCTCCTGAGCCACAGCCACCCCGTAATGAGCCTTCCCTGGGGCCCTCCAGCTCTGTCTGGGACCTCCCTCAAGGGACCATACAGGACCCCGGGGACAGCTGGCCCGGATGATGTGGCATCATCGGTGCCTGCCAGCCCAGGCTGGTGGCTGCTGCCTGCTCACCTCCCCTCCCATGCAGGGCATGGGGCTATGACAGTGCAGTTTTCCCCAGAGCAGCACCTAGGGATGGGGAAGAGGCTTGGAGGGCAGCACAGGCAAGTGAGACCCCCATCCCCAGCTGAAATCCAGCCCCCCAATCCACACTGCCATCACAGGCACCGTGCCTTGTGCCTCCTTGCCTCCAGCCTGCCCTGATGGGGGACGTGGCTTTGAGGCAGCATTTGCAGCTCCTTCAGAATTTCAATGTGGATTAAATTCGCAGTTAGCAAATGTCAGGCTGCAGGTGAGGGGTTTTCCCCACCACCAGCCAGCTCCCCATCTCTGCTGCAAAAGCCAGTCACCTCACCCTCCATCCACCATTCCCTCCATCCTCTCTTCTGCACGCTAGAACACACAGAAGAGAAAAGCCACAAGGAGAAGGCAGTGAGCTCCAGTGGGTTACCAGCCTGGTAGGGCACAGAGAGGGTGGGGAGGTCCCAGCAACCCCCAGAGTTTGGGGGTGTAGCTCTGGCTGGTCACACACAGGGAGGCTGGGGGTGGTGGCAGCACCTGTGCCAGTGCCAGCTGCCTCCTCCCAGACAAAATGGAGGCCAGCAGCAGTGCGCAGGGATGGTAGCCCTGCACATCCCTGCTCATGCCCCAGGGTGTCTGCTGCCCCTACCTCCACCCCATACCGCCAAGATCACCTGCTGAGGGGCTGCTCTGGGAACTGGGCAGGGGACATGATTGGCTTTTCCTCCTCCAGCGCTGCAGCTGAGGCATGGAACCTGAGCAGGGAGGAGACCCCGAGTGCACAGGGGGTCTATGGAGTCCAGCAGAGGGGACGCTGCCCCACGGGGAATGAGGAGGAAGAGGCAGAGAAGGAAGACAATGGGGCAGGAGCAGGGCTGTTCCCTGGGAGCCAGGGTGGCCGAGTGCAAGGCTCTGCACCAGCCCCTCCACCCAGGGACCACCCTCTCCCCCAGCCAGAAGCCACTGGAGCGCG